ATTCTGCGAGGATGGGGCCCTCGCTGGGGGTGGGTCGCGCAGGAGTTGCGGCCGAGGCCCTCTGGGGGGCCAATGTCTGGGGCCTCCCTGACAGAAGGTTCAAGAGTCTCAGAGCGGCGGCTGTCCTGGCCGACGGTAGGTTCCCGTGGGATGCTTGCTCGCATTGGCGTCGACGTGCGCTCGCGAGGGCGTGGCCGCGAGATACCTCGGAGCAGGTCTCAGCAGACGCGATCAAGCCCTGCATGCGTCATCTTCAGGACGGCAGGTCATGGCATCGAAACTTTGGCGGTTTTGTGAGGTGCTGCAGCTGAAGATCGATATGGGCGGGAATGACATGGAGCGGGCGGTGGTGGGGGGTTCGACGGCAGCGGACTCTTCGCGGACTCCTCACGGGGCCCCACTCGTGCCAGCACTGATTGCGCCAACATGGCCCAGCTCCTTCGGCCAGCTCCTTCGGAGAGAGGGGCGATGCGCGTGGCCGCGTTCAGAATCCGACATCAGGAACGCATTGCCCGTGGAATCTTGCTCGACCCTTGCCAGCTTCTGCCCCGGAACCCATCGGGTGAAACAGCGGAGTTCGGCGTGGATGGAGGCCTTGCGGGGCCATTGATGCTGCCCTGCGGTCATATGTTTCTGCGATGCCTCTCGCCCTGATGGCCTGCTCCCCTCGCTCCGCGTTGCTGCGTGGGGCGTCGCCGTCTTCGATGGGAGTTGCAGGCGCGTCGCCACATGACATGGTTCCGGGCCGCCGGCCACCTTGCCCGATCAGGTTGTGCGGGGCGTCGAGGCTTATGTCGTTGTTACCGTCTCGAAGCTGCGCGCCGGAGATTTTGCCCGTTGCGCTGACTGGAAAGGCGCGTTTGACTGTTGCCAACATAGATCTCGAGCCCCAGGGCTTATCTTTGGAAGCTGTCTTGGGCACCGGGGGGGGGGGGAGGCTCGATGGCTTTTTGTCTTTGTCAAGGGGGCCCCAGCTCGACCATGAGTGATGCGCGAGAAGTCCTTCTGCCTGAATTCGAGCGCGCAGGGAATCATGGCGCGGATAGGCAAGGCGAGCTCGGGGCATGCCTGGTCCAGCACGACTCAGACAATGTGCCGTTTGCCGGGGGCTGCCTTGTCTTAGTTTGTGAACTCCTGAGGTTTATCGCGCGCGCCGAGGTATAGTATAATGAGCAGCGTGAGCGCGTCAATGTTGGGGCCCAGGGTCTCTCTCGGGTTTCCCTGGCTGTGTCCACGGACCGCGAGGCACGGGTGGCCGGGGCCCGTGCTCGCGACGCCGCAGTGGTGGCCGAAGGCCCCCCGCCCAGTGAACCGAGCCTGGGCCCCGACCCGTCAACCGGCGCTTCGATGGAGAGCTGTTTCGGGGGCGCCAATGGCAAGACCGGGTCGTGGACGGCGGGTGGTCTTGGTTTGTTTTCAACTCCCCGTAAAGGAGGATGGGTTTCCCCCGTTCCTTTCTTTTCGACAGGTCCCGGGGTCTTCGTGATTTGCGCGCGGAGTCGGCCCTTTCCAGGAAAGGAGCTGGCAGGAAGGCGGGCAAGCTAGGCCTGCGAGAACTCCAGGGGCCTGGGCGGTCGGGGTTTTCGGCCCTCGTTTCCTGGAAGTCGGGTTGGCGTCCCAGCCGAGTGTGCCCATGGCTCCGAGAAACCCCCCAGTTTTCCAGTGCCGCCCATCTCTGCCTCTCCTCCAGGCTTTTGATCTGAACGAGTGTGAACCTCAGGAGTTGGGAAAGAGGTGTTTTCTTAAAGGTGGCCCTGTCGCTGGCCCGCGGTGTGCAGCCTATGCCGAGCCGCACCGCAATGACACATGTCCTTTTCTATGTGCCTTTAGGGTTTTCGGACTCTCTCTCTCTCATTCTCTCCCCTCCTCAGCAGGGTGTAGTCCTCCTGGCTCCTCGCTCCTCATTCCTCATCCCCTCCTCTTCGTCGCCTTCCCTGCTCCCTCCTCCTGCCCTCCCTCTGAGGGGGAGGAGGAGGGAGGCACGAGGAGGACGGGGAGGAGGAGGAGGAGGAGGAGGAGGAGGGGGATGAGGACGAGGAGCAGGAGGAGGAGGGTGAACAGGAGGGTGGGGATGATGATGATGATGATGATGAGGAGGAGGAGGAGGAGGAGGAGGAGGAGGAGGAGGAGGAAAAGGAGGAGTAGGAGGAGGAGGAAGATGAGGAGGAGGAGGAGGAGGAGAGGAGTGAACGGTGTGGGGGGTGGGCGCGGGGGGGGGGAGCGGGGGTGGAACGAGGAGGGAGGGGGCGATAGAGCGGTGGAATTGTGGAGTAATTTGTGGATTGCGGTTTAATCCTTGGTACTTGTTTTTTTCCATTGTTTTTGTTTTGTGTTCCTTTGCGCACATCGGGCATCTATAATTCTTGTAGCCGCACAAAGATTCTACTTGTAACGCCCCCGCGTAAGGAATGCAAATGTACATCTTTCACAGAAGGAGTGCAGAGAGAAGGGTGGGCCTGGAGGATGCGGAGGGTGAGGGGCACAGGGGCGGATGAGGAGGGGAGGGTGACTTCTCAACCTCGCCCTATTCCTGCTCATCGTACTCCAATGGTATTTCAGGCCACCCGGGGGGTGACAGGATGGTCGTGCTCCACGTCAAGACTGTGGTAGTTTCTCGGCGTAGAAAACGAAAGCAGATGGGCCGATACTCCCAAATCTGCCTTTCAGACCCTAAAGCGGGTTTTGGAACGGCGTTCCAAACATCGTCGCTGGAGCAAAGGATGCCCGAATTTCCCTTTAGGGCCCTCGGGAGGATTTGGGAAAGGCGTTCCAAAATCGGCCCCTGGAGCAACTGGAACGGCGTTCCAAAGTACTTCTGCTTCGACGAAGTGCCCGTGCTGACGATGTGTGATCTTTCGAGTGAGCAAAAGGTGCGTCCCTACTCTGGGGCGCGGTGCGCCATGGATTCACGGATACGCCCGTACACCCAAAAGTGAGTCCAAAGTGGCCGCAGCAAAGTGTGACTCTTTTCCGCGCTGTTTTGGTCGATAAGGAGGTTCGGAATGAATCACCTTACCCTGAGACAGCTCAAACGTGAAGCAGGATCGTGAGACTGTCCCGACTGCGTGGCCGATATCTTGGGGGTGGGGCGTCGATGCTATTCCTTCTGACCTCACAATGACATGTTGGGTCCAACGAAGTGGGGCCTGGATGTGTGCTTGGTCCATCTCAGGGGGACGCAACAAACTAGAACCAAAACGCGCGCGCTTTGCCGGCGGGGGGCATGATTTGTCCGCCCCTGGGCGTCGGTTCAAGCTATAATCCGTGCGTGTGCGGTTCTGATACGTGTTGCGTCTGCCACGGCTGCGTGGCCGTTACGAGGTGTCGATGCTATCCCCCCTGACCTCACAACGACATGTTGGGTCCCGCGAAGTGGGACCCGGCTGTTTGCTTGGTCCACCCCGGGGGGACGCAACAAGGTATAACCAACGCGCGCGCCCTGCCGGGTGGCAGGATTTGTCCGCCCCTGGGTGGCGGTTCAAGCTAGAATCCAAGCGTGCGCGGTTCTGGTTTGTGGTGTTGCGTCTGTCCCAGTTGCGTGGCCGCTAACTTTGGGGGGGAGGTGTTGAAAGCTAGAATCCAAGCGTGCGCGGCTCTGATCTGTGGTGTTGCGTCTGTCCCGGCTGCGTGGCCGATAATTTGGGGGTGAAGTGTCGATGTTATCCCCCTGACCTCAAAATTACATGTTGGGTCCCACGAAGTGGGACCCGGATGTGACGATGGAGGAGGAGGAGGAGGAGGAGGAGGAGGAGGAAGAGGAGGAGGAGGAGACGAAGGAAGAGGAGGAAGAAGAGACGAGGTAAGAGGAGGAAAAGAGGAAGAGGAGGAGGAGACGAAATCTGAGAGCACGCGAAAGAAGGAGAGAGAGAGAGAGAGAGACAGAAAGAGAGAAAGGGAAAGAAACATAAACAGAGAGTCAGAGAGAGAGAGAGAGAGAGAGAGAGCGAACGAGAACGCGAGAGGCAGAGGATATCGGATAAGGGGAGCGGGGCGCGAAGAAGGTTAGTCGCAGAAGCGCGGGTGAGAATCATCCCTCCCAGCCCCCCCTGGCTACCCATGGATCATGGGGTCCTTCTGTGTCAAGGGGCCCATCCCTGGGAAGCTTTTCAGGGATGAAGGGAGGAGGGAGGGAGTGATGATGAGGGTCAAGGATCGCGAATCGAAGTTTCTTCACGTCCCCGGCCATTTCTAGTATCCTGGGGGTGCTGTCGGGGCCGCGGTTCGATCCGCCGCGAGATTCTGGGTTCCATCTCCTCCGCAAGAAGGGAGGAGCAGTGTGCAGAAGGGAGGAGAGAGGCTGAACGAGGAGGAGCAGGAGGAGGAGGGAGGAGCCAGGGTGGGGGGGGATAACTAGGAGTGGCGAGGAGGGGGTTGAGCGAGGGGGGAGGACGGCCGGAGGCTGCGGCACGTGGTCCCGGCCCCTGGGGGCACTCCCCTCTGCGGCTCCACGACGGGGGCATCTCGGGGGCCAGCTGGGGGCTTCTCGGGGCATCTCGGGGGCCACTCGGGGCCACTCGGGCGCGCGCGGCGGCACACCGAGAGGGAGGAGCGAGAGGCAGGAGGTCGAGCAGTGGCGAAGCGCCCTGGCTCGCCTGCTATAGGCCTACATAGGCCTCTCAAACAGTGTTCTCTAGGAGCCTTTCGTGCTTTCCACGCCAGGTTCTCAGACCACTTCTGGCCAGGGCCGTCCTCTCTGAACCCACCGGGCTTCTGCTCCAAGAGCACCGTTTCTGCTCTTCGAACACTTCTGGGTTCCAGGAGCCTGTCGTTCAGGAGCGAGAGAAGGACGTACACGTACGTGAATCCGCGCTGGTTTCGAGAGTACGCATTGCCCGAATTTTCGTATCACGCGGCCAGTCTCGCGGATCGAGGGGCCGTGTTCATGTACATAGCTGGGCGCGTACGTCCTTTGTGGGCTCCCTAGTCGTGGCAGGCCGACAGGGCTGCCGGGAAGGCCGGCCCCTGCTCCGGGCGGGGGGCGCCGCGGGCCGCCGGCCGCCAGGTCGACGAGCTGGGCTGCGAGCTCTGCGCGGAGCCGGCGCGGCGCGGCCGGGCGGCCTGCCGGCCGTTCGTGGAGAGCCCGGCCTGCCGGGAGCACCTGAAGGCCCGCGCCCTCTGGCGGCGAGGGCAGCCCAAACTCAGGAGGAGAAAAAGCACACAGACACAATTCATCGTCGATTCCCTAGAACATATGGGAAATATGGGAAGTGGGGGTGAGGACCAAAACCCAGAAAATACGCGAGAATATAGGGGATCGTTTTGATTGTGTGTGTGTATTTATTTGTGTGTCCTGGGGCCCCTTCGTAGTTGCGACTCGCGCGCTCGTTTGTGGTCCCCCCCCCCCCCCCCGCGGCCCCCAAAAAGCCGCGCACCAAAGGTCACTCTTACCCAGGGTCACTCTTGCGTGTAGTCGACCTGGCGGCGAGGGCAGCCCAGACGCTGATCGCGTCGTTTAGAAACCAAAAATCAGGGCGGGAGGATTTTGCTGGTTTTCGGCCTCGGGGGGTCCTCGCCGGGCCCCGGGGGCGTCAGGAAAGGACTCGGCATGAGAAACCGGTCCCGGGGAAAGGGTCGGGACTTCCAGGGACGCTGTGCTGAAAAAATCGGGACGTCGCACGTCTGGGAACGCACGCACACAGAGCCTCCTCCTGGCCCGTCCTGTCGAGCAGTGGCGAAGCGCCCTGGCCTGCTTGCCCAGAGGCCCACCAGGGAGTGTTCTAAGAACCTTTTGTGGTCTGCACGAGATATTCTTACAGCATTTTTCTGGTTGAGACTGTTTTTTTTGACACGTCGGGTTCATCATGTTCCAAGAGCTTTTTTTGCGAGAGTTTCTGGGTTCTACAAACATGTTTTGTGGTAGGCCTAAAGGGATGCCAGGACGGTCGGTCCCTGCTCGAGTCCTGGCCCCAGGGGGCCAGTGCATGGCCGTACCTCCCTGGCAAGGCCAGGGAGGGCGTACAGTCGAGGCTGGTTGGTAGGGCCGACCCTGCCAAATCAAGGGTGCCCTGCCCTGTGCTTCGCCACCCGTGCCTCCTACATTTTTCTGGCAGCGTGGCCCTCGGAACGGGTGCCGTGTCCTCTCGCGTGTTCTCTCCCATCCACCTCGACTGTAATTATGCCGTGCGCGCCGATCCCGGGCTCAGGAGGAGGTCGGCCAGGATCGGTGCGCACAGCAGGTGCTCCTCACTCCTGTCGCCGCCGTGCCCATGCCCGCCTCCTCCCGCTGCCACCGCGGAGCAGTCTCATCGTCTCCCCTGCCCCCTGCCGCTGCACCGCCCGCCCCCGTTGGTTTCCCCGTTCCCATTCTTGGCGCCTCGCTTACGTACAGGGGGGGCCCATGCCAAGAAGCACCCTGCTTGCCTCCAGGGTGCCCTGGGTGTCTTGGGTTTCGATGGTTTTGCGATGGAAAGCGCGACGTTCCCACACCACAGTTCCATGGACGTCCTGGGGTCTCAGGGTTGGGTTTCCTGTGGAAGGTCTCTTGTGGTCGGGCCCCCACTGTACGTACCCCCACCAGATCGTCCAGAAGCAATCGCCAGGGGAGCGGCGAGAATGAGGGCAGCGTAGAAGCATGCAGTGGAACGGGCCGCCGTGGAAGCGTATCAGGGGCGCAGCGACGGTGGGAGCAGTTGTTGAATCAGTATAACACAAGTTTCCCTGCTCCCCCGGCTTTCTTCGGTTCTTCTGGGATGATGTGTTGGACCTGCATGGCATGTCTTGCCGTTTCTGGAGGAGCCTGATGCGCAGGCGGGGGAGGAGGATGAATGGGTGGGTGAGGCAAGAGGAAACTGGAGGAGGAGGAGGATGAGGAGGAGGCGAAGGAGGAGGAGGAGGAGGAGGAGGAGGAGGAGAAGGAACGCTGCACGAGCTTTGAGCTTTCAAGGGGGGGACCTGCATGTCGTAACCCCCCCTCTTTTTGAACAGAGGTGGTCAAGGCTCCACAACCAGCAAAAGAGGGACTCTCTTTGCAGGGTCTTTGCATGGTCTTTGCAGGGGGTGAACCCTGCAAAGTCCCTGCAAAGACCCTGCAACGTGGACGTCCTGGAGGCCTCTTGGGGTGACCTTGGGGCCCACGGTTTAAAAGGGGGGGGTCAGTTTAGCCCCCCCCCCCCCCCCCCCTCGGAGGCTCACACATAGCTTCTCGGGGCCCTCTTGGGCGGCTCGTGGTGCGCTCTTGGGCGCTCTTGGGGCCCTCTGGGGGCCTCTTGGGCTCCTCTTGAGTTTCCCTTGGTGTTTGGAGGGTTTTGGCTTCTTGGAGGCTTCCTTTGGCGGCTCGGAGGGCCTTGAAGCCGTCTTTTGGGGTTGTCTTGGGGCCTCATGGAGTAATGCCGGAAGCTATCTTGAGCAATCTTGCGCTATCTTGAGCCATCTTGCATGCCGTTTTGGGGTCTGAGGCTCTCTTGGAGCCATCTTGGGCGCTCTGACCGCTCCGTCCCTCCCCCCTTCCCAGGTCAAGGGGAGGGGGCCGTGGGAGGGGTCAAGCCACCCTCCTAGATAGCAGGCCGTTTAGCTCACTCCCACCCGCCCTCCCAAGACATAAGTAACACCCGAATGTCACCTGATCGCTCAGGAACTCCACGCAAGCCATGCGCGCCACGTGTCCAGGTGCACCAGGCGCCCTGCATGCCCGAGTGTGGCAGGTGCGGCACACGCTCCGCGTGCGCCAACTGTGCCACGTGCTGCCAGCCTGGCCCCAAGGAGTTCAGGATCTTGAACCCCCCTGAAGCGAAGTGCCGAGCATTCTGCGAGAAGGGCGGCTCTTCTAGGGAGCGCACAGCACCGATACCGATGGACTGATTGTGACATCTTGAGGAGTCGTGAAACAGATGAGAGCTCAGAGAAAACATGGCACTGCGCATGCTCCAGATTTGGAGCCAAAGAGCATTCTCGGGTTTTTTGAAAGGGATGGTTGGCCTGCGCGCAGCAAGCAGTATGCCGGCACCCCCGCCGTCCCGGTCAAACATGAATTCAAAGTAGTCGCGGGGCGCCCGCGCATACGCCAGATTGTGAGGCAAACGGATTAGGTAGTGTTTTCTACAAATAATTGGGGCGGGTGGTGGGCTCATTGGTCCGGGTTGGCTGCTGGTTGCCTGGGGGAGGGGATGTTCCTTCATAGGAAACAGTAATGAACCCCTCCCCCGAACTGTGGAAAGAAGGATTTTGGCAGAGAGAAGACACAATTCGTTAAACCACCTACGCCCAGAGGGCTTGTGGGATCTTCCGCTCTCGTTCCTCCTCCTCCTCCTCCTCAGCTTCCCCTCCTCTGGTTGTCCGTCTCCCTCTCTCGCACTCTTCTCTCTCTCTCTCTTGTCTATTTTTTTGTCTCTTTCTCTCGTTCACTTTCTGTCTGTCTCTCTCCCTCTCTCTCCTTTTCAATCTCTTTCTTTTTCTGTGTATACATATATGTACGTTATCCAGGTATCCAGCGTGGACCCCAAGCAGTGTGTTTCTAGCATTGTATTTTGAGCAAATTAGGTGAAGCAGTATCTGCGGTGCAATCTACCTGGTGCAAGCTACGTTGTACAATATGTGTTGTGTAATACATGTTGTGCAATCTATGCTGTGCAATCCACGTGGTACAATCTACGTAGTGAAATCTAGGTTGTGCAACCGATGTTGTGCAATATACGTGGTGCAGGCCATGTGGTGCGATACCTGTGGTACCATACGCGGTGCACTTCACGAGGTGCAATCTGTGTGGTGCACGTTTGTGTTCGCGGTGAGTTGTCGATTCCACGCCTCGCGCCGTGGTCCCTCCCGTCCACCCGCCACCTGGCCTGCAGAAGACCCCTGCGGCGGCGATGGCGATGCCTGCTCGCTGCAGGGCCGGCACGCTGCTGCGGCCGCGCACGGGCGCGCGCAGGCTCGCGAGGCCAAGCGGCCAGCCGTTCTGGCGCGACCGACGCGGCCGGCGCGGATGCTTCGCGTGGATGGCATCCGGCTTCTGTTGGCGGCGAGGCGGGGAAGTGAGAAGGCGTTTTCGGTTTTCGAAAAAACCCGAACTTCGAGGTTCTAGGTTTTTGGGTGTTTCGTAGTTTCTTGGCGGTCTTCCGGCCTCGGGATGCGTTCCAGCGGCTGCGCCTCGCCGAGGGCATTCCAGGGGTGCCCGGATCGTCCCGAACGGCCGCTGGAGACCCGAGTTACGACCCGAAAATTGAACTCGGCGGCGCGCCCGGGGGGGGAAGTGAGGAGGAGAAGGCCTTCTCAGAGGGCGGCGGGACGTCTCAGAAGCCCCCGCGCCTGCTGTGCATTGTCCTGCGTCTTCGGGGAAGGCCTGGGGAGCTCCTCGGAAGGCCTGGGGACTTCCGAGCCTGCTGAGACGGCCCGCCCCTTCGCTTTTCCCCCCACGGGCTCGCCGCCTATAGTATGTGTCACCACCGACCAAACCACCCCAACCCAACCCGAAGGCCCCGATTTGCTCTCCATTTCCAGTTGGGGGGGGGTCGGGGAACATTGGAAAAACACATGGAACCCGTACCCCCCCCCCAACCCGAAATTCGGGCGAAATTCGGGTCTTCGGGTTGGGTTGGGGTGGTTTGGTAGGTAGTCAATGTGAACAGGGCGGGTCCTGGAGCGGGTCCCGGAGCGGGGGCGGCGCGCCGCCTTTTCCGGTCCGCGCGGCCAGAGCGGGTGCGCTGGGCAGGCTGGCGTCGGCGAGGGCGCCTCGGGCGGCAAGCGTCAAGTCGGGCACGTTCCCTCTACAGGAGGAGTATTCGAGAACAGTAAAAGAATAGTCTGGTGACGATGTTGTTTTCTTTGTTTTTTTTTATAGATGTATGCATGCATGTATGTATATATATATATATATACACATGTATGCATCGTTCTCCCGAAATCCGCTTGTAGTTTGTAGGAGGACATGTCCAACGTAAGGCAAGCGCGGGCCCTCCTGGGGAGCGGCTGGCGGCGTGACGCCTCACGTCGCATATCACAATCTGCTTCCGACGCGCCGCGCCCGCGTCCAGAGCGGCCGCGCCCATCTCTTCCACCGCCCGAGCAGGTCCATATCCACCGCTTCGGGGCACTGCCCGAGATCTCGAGGAGAGGTGGACGTGGTTGATGTCTGCCCGCCCGCTTGGGCGGGCTGATGTCCATATCCGCAGC